TTGGTACACACCGATCTTTACAACCTACAATTAGGTGTAAATTTGGTCTAAATATAAGCCACGTGTGTAAAGTTATTCAACAAAAACCGCTCAAATTTGACCAAACTTTTTGCGCACGCCTACTAAAAAACCGATGTGAGCTATCAGTGTAAAATGTTTACTACAGCTTCACGTAAGAGAAAAGGGGGACTGCTTTTAGTTTTTTTTGTCATTCGGGTTAAAGACGACTGGTTTAGAGCATCAAAACTATAGGGTGAAAGAACGTGCAGATACATAAGTATTCATTAGGCCAAACAAACTAGATTAGCAGTTTGTAGCTCAAGTTTTCAAAATAATCATAAGGGTGAACGGTTATTATTCGTTATTCATTGCCAAATTTTAAGTACATACTTGCTAAATTTTATGAAATTCTCCTAATTAAAGAACGTTTAGCTTCGTGTCATATGAGCTTAAGCAATTAGCGTAACTAATGATGCTTGATAGCTGTGTCGAGTGCATACGGGCGATGACAAGAAACTGTTAATTTAGATTATATGGTGTTACTATAAAGAAAGTTATTAACACTGTTTTAGAGAGAAAAATTACCACTGTACATTTTAAAGCATCCGGTTGGTTCTATAAATTATAGATATGTTCCATATAATAAGGATGTGATCCTAATAGCTAATGTTGGTTAATATCGAACGTCACTTTCTTACTTGCTATGGTTTATTGGTGTGTATTAAGAAAAGTCATGATATCCAATCAAAAACATCTTAGGTATGAAACAAAGGTGTGGCTAAAAAGTATTGAGCGTACGACTTAAAGGAATGAAATCATCAATGCTATAAGTGTAGCTACCAGTTTGGCCGCCAATTTTGATTTCATTCCTTTAAGTCGCACGCTCAGTGCTTTTTTGGACGCACCTTTTTTTTTTTTTTTTTACAAGTAAGGTGTTTTTGAAAATTAGCCCAATGTGATTTGATTTGATGAAACTACAAAAATGCGTTAGGAACGTCCAAAGATTAAAAGATATACTAGAAGCTGGGAGTTGTAATTACATATAATTCTTATAAACTTTATAGATTCTTACAGGGTATGACTCACAGGCTTGTAGTTAGAAAATAACTTTACGCACTGTTGTCTATTAAAGTTTGAAGTACAAAGATAAATCGATTTAAGACTTTTCTTAAAGACAATCATGGTTTGCCCTAAACAAAACGTACTGGGCTCCTTCGATTAGCTTTAGGATGAAGCAGCGGTGCGGCTTAAACGAGACTGTCATAACATGTGATGATGAATGAAATGGACTTCACAAGCAGTACATTCCTAAAGAGGTTTTATTTCTTCAACAGCTGCACACTAAACAGAGCCACACAATTTGTTTCACACAAATACATAGTTTATTTATAATATCTTATCCATTTCAACGTGCTTTACAACAAGAATTCTATGGCTTACATGCTTACTGACAGAGATACATTTTGTTTTTAAGTTGCTAGTTCTTAGTGTTTTTAAACGAAAGCTACTTGCTATCTCTTGTGATTTTCAATCTTAGGAAAATAGCCTGAAAGAACTAACTGTTTGTGTGATAGGATTTGATATTGAATTGCATTTCATTCTTTTGGCCCTTTACAAACATGTTTTCAAAATCATCTTTAAGTTAAAATAGGATTAAGAAAGATTGGGTTTTAAAATTTTGTTAATAAATATTTATTACGTTTTAAATGTAAATCTTTAAAGGGATAAATAAAACATACTAACGAGAGTGGCTTAGTTCTGAGCTTTATCCTAGCTGAAGTGTTAACTTTTCTCGTAGATTGATTAATAGAAATGAATTTTGTGTTCAGCATTGAATCTTTTGAAAATAATGAAGCAGTAACTTAATACTAAATCACGGGCGCAAGTCTATTGAAAAGATTAAACAATTAAGAACGTGTACAACGATCCCCTTCTCCAGTACCTGGCGCTTATTTATGTAGGGAACACAAACTCAGTAAAATGTCTAAAACTGCAAAGATATCATTTCAAAACATATTACATCATGTCTCAGATGAATAATATATTTCTCATCCTCTTAGTGTTACATAAAAATAACATTTGCTCTTCAACAGCAGTGCTTACAAGTTTGAATGTAATACGATTTTGAGGAAAATAAAATTTTATTCACATAGCATTTCTATGCTTATGGAAATAACTTGCTCTTGCATAACCAAAAGTCAGTTATTTTAAATAAGTATTTAATGAACATGAAAGTTAGGTTTATTTGAGAGTATAAATCTCAGTTATTCAGCATTTATTTCGAAACATATATAAATTCCTCCGTATTTACAACGCGACAAACTTTTAAAAAATATTTGATAAAATTGCAAGGTTCAATTTCAAAACAAAATTAAAACATTTACGCAATTTTTAGAACATTTACATTCCACTGCAACGTTACATTTGATTGCCTATTTATTTCCTCAACTCTGCTTCATTTTACCAACCTTCTTGAGGTACATTGTCTAAATCTTATCCTCCAACAGAGTGAAGTGACAATCAGATCCCACATGATATTAGTAAAGGGTAATTGGTATAAGAATTGACAGCTATACTTGATGGATACGGGGAAATTTTAAACAAAAACCTAAGTCTAACTAGCACAAACTAAGCGTATACAGAAGATAAACTACACATTTTCGGAAGCGATAATTAAGTTCAACCTACTAGACTAGAGACAATATTATCCACCACCCCCCCCCCCCCCCACGTGGCACGGCGATATATCTGAGGACTTTGAACGCTAGAAATCGGGTTTAGTTACCCGTGGCGGACAGAGCACAGATAGCTCATTGTGTAACTTTGTGCTTAACTTCAAACAAACAATATTGTCCCTACGATCTTGTTTTATCCGCTTTCCCCGCGACATTGTTTTCATGAAATCAGTCTTCTTCAGGGAAGAGCCATTTCAGTGTTGTCCCCTACTTCTTGTGTAGCTTTCTTTCCATAAATCGGTTAACGTTTCAGGTCTCTCAAGCCCACGTTATAAACATATCAAAGGCACAAATGTCCAGTGCAGTTAGATCAAGGGATTTGACAGATACGCGACCGAATAGAATGTTAAGATTTCTGATTTTGTTTTTCGGCCATTGTTTTTACTAAAAAAGTTGTTCATTGTAGTTATGGCAACTTTCACCAACTTCAAATTCTTTTTTGTCTTATTGACGTGCAATAAGATACGATCAGTTTCATTCCAATGGAAATTTGGGGTCGGGAGTTACTTTTTTTAGCGAGTGGTTTCACAACCAATTCTGTTATAGACGCTATGCTGTGCGAGTTTTCTCGTTGATATAATTAGTTATATTTGGAAAGAGTAGACGCTTGCTACTCTAGCCACTGATCATGTTTTAGAGACATTTAACAAGTCAAGTGTGTGACAAATGCTTGAGTATCAGAAGAGGATAGTTCTGGAACCCTCACGAAATTTGCAGACAAACGATGGCTAATATGTATATGTTTCTATAATCTAGAGCTTCTAAGCAGAAGTGTATATAAAACTAATAGAAGGGAAAATAAAGTTATAGTACCTCAGACGAAGTGAAAATTAATCTACCATTGGCCAGATAAAGACAAAATTTCATAGCTGAAGACTAAAGGAAACCAGCGCAACTTACGTAATGGCGACGTTTCTTAGCTGAAGACTAAGGTAATCTTAACTTAGTATAGGTAAAGGTAAAGCTTGGTAGCTGAAGTCTGAATAAAACTAGTACAGAGCAAGTATTGGTAAATATTTTAACTTGAAGTAAAAGAGAATCCAGCACAGAGCAGTTAATGCTAAATCAATCAATCAGCTGAAGACTAAATGAAACCAGTATGGAATAGGTAGTGGTCAATCTTCGCAACTGGAGTATAAGTGAAATAAATACAGAGTAGTAATATAAAACTTCTTGAACGCAGAGTAACTTATCGAAAATATTCTTAGCTGAGGTATAAGTGAAATCAGTTTAGAATATATATAGTGAAGAATCTTCTCAACTGAAATCCAAGTGTAAGACACAATACTGTAAGAACAGTAAATAATTCTGTTGAAATCTAAATGAAACAAAAACAGGATAAGTAATGGTAACGGGTTTCGACTGAAGTCTTGTCAAACAAGATAGAGTAAGTAGTAACAAATGTCTGAGCTGAAACCTAAGTGAGTTCAGTACAAAGTAAGTAATGGTAATGTACTCAGAAGATTAAATCCAACCATCATAGTAAAAGCAAAAGTCAAGCTTCTCAGCTGAAGTAAAGTAAAATATATACAAATTCCATTTAAAAACATTTGGAATAAACCTCAATACAGAAACAAAAAAGAGAATGTTTGGCAGGTTTATTTTGTTTGTTTGTTTTTGAATTTCGCGCAAAGCTACACGAGGGCTATCTGCGCTAT